TGATTTTTTTAAATGGAACTATCACAATGATGTGATAGTAGCAAAATAATGCATACTTTTCAATCTCATCAATACGTTCTTTAATTTCATCAGCATCCAGTTTGGTGAAAAAAGCGTTGATGTCGAATATTAACAAAAAATATTTACACTTCGTAACTTGATTATTTAATTGAACGTACCAACAATAAAATTATTAAATTACATTTTTAACGAAATAATGATAAAAATTATTGCATTTAATGTTCATAATACGCAGTAATTGGAAATACGATTGTTTATTTGGAGCAATGATAACTTCTACGCTCTTCATGTATTATACGCAATTTGAAACTTTTTCAGTTTTAAATAAGTGTTAGGTTTATTTCGTTTGTGAAAGGTGGATTTGAATTGTATTAAGATCATACATTGACATATAAGAATGAAAAATATTCCAAGGATGTACTGTGTGTTGATTTGAGCATTTGTCTGCAGGTATGAGCATTGAAGCAAAAAGACTTTCCAACCCATATAAATCAGTACGCTTTATGCAAAGTAAGGAATAAATGAACTATTCTTATCATCATCGAAGTATACAAGAAATAATACACCACTCGCTGTACAACATCAAAATATACTTCAACATTAATGATGTATGTATGTATTTGGCATGTTGGGTCGCTTGTTCGACACTGTCGACAAGGTAACGGTGTCCCTCATGCCAGGACCTAGTTAATACCTACGCTTGGGGAAAGATAGAAATGAGGTGAACATGATATATTCCCTTCACCGTAACTAGCAAAGCCTGCCTGCCTGCCTGCCTGCCTGAGCTTTTCTTCCTCACTTATAGAAATTGAGACTATTTTAAAGCTACAATTCAATTTTTGCCCCGACTGGCAATCGAACTCGGGATTGTTATCACAGGAAGCTAGTACGTACGCTGCCCATGAGCCACCCTGAGGCTCAACACGAATAACGAGGTAATAATTGAAGTCGAACTCTTTACAATTATTAGTTGTATTAAAGTTAAGCAATACATCACACATGACAATACACCATACAATATACACAACCTTTCCGCACGTGTAATTTCATTGACAACTTTCGCATTTTGCAGATATAAACCGACTTATTAACTACAGTACTTATGACGCATGACATGACGGAAAATTCTGTTCATTGTAAATCAGTATCAACAGCACCCTAAAAACAAAATTAAGGTACACATCGTTATAATGCTTTACCAATCTCCACTTAAACGTTAACATATTACATTATTTTAAAAAACAATATTTTTTGCTGTAAAATTCTTTTTACTTAAAGTGTATATACTGACCCCGATGAAGAAAATAACAAATGTAATATTTTTTAATGAAATAGAACAAATAAATCTTAAATGTTTATTATTTAAAGACTTAAAGCTACTTAAAACAATTAATTGTGCTGTAGGTTATATTTATTTCCGTCTGTAACAAGCATTGAAATGAGCTTCTAACTCACTGGCCCCCATCTCCAGTTTCCCTTGGTCCTTTCCTGTGACGGAAAAATGATTTGATTTTGGACTGTAAATGAAAATTCAGCACCTGCCCCTAATTTCTCAAGATCTCAATTTAGTAGATGATCGAGGAGTGCAAGGTTTATTTATGTAGTCACCAGTTTCTTGAAATCAAATCCTTAGCTTGGTTGTCGATCAAAATAGTATCTATTTCCTATTGCAACCTTTATTCAGAATTCAAGAAGAATAGTAAATGAGAAAGGAAGGTTCTGGGGCTAAAGAAAATGTACGCACAAGGTTCTCACCACTTTTTGAAGCTTATTAAATATAAATAAATTAATAATAAAAGGTTATTATTTGCACATATTGTCAATCTTCCGTTGTAATTTTTCTTTACAGCTTAAGGTGTTTCTGCTATTGAATGTAAAAAATGGAAATAAATGAGGTTTCTTAGCTAAGTGAACGGGAATCATTATTCCAGTACATAATGAGACGAATTGATTCAAATATATGATTTACTTATATTCAAACCTCATAGAATTAAATAATTAAAAAATAATAAGACATTTTATTATTGTGAACTACCACGAGGTACTAGCACTGATTTCAATCTCAAGAACACTTTACGGATTTTATTGACATTAATTAAACTAAATAGTAACGGGTACGCTCCATTTTTGATTAGCTCATTGGAATTATGCAGTTAGATTTTACTAATTGGAACAACTTATTTCCAAAGACAAAATAATAATTTACAAACTACCATGATGTAACATTTGAAAAAGATTTGAATTTATTACTAGTTTCTAGTCTTTTTATATTTTTAATTTTGAAAGTATTTATAAAACTGTATAATGCATGAAATAAAAATTATTGAAATAAAAAAATTCATAGCATTTTATTTTTTTATTAGTAAAACTAAGTTTTTTTCTCATATGCGATATGCATCATCCGCACTCTTGTATCACAGAGTCTACACATCTACAACGAAACTAGTTTTAAAATGTTTTTAGTATTCTGTTCTGGTACTAGTATACCCTACGTATTGCATTAAAAGCATACAAGAGAATGATGCGCAATATTATAATCAATTATAATCAAAATAGATCTATATTTTTATAACGAGAGCTTTACTTAACATTCCAAAGCAAATAATACACGGTGATAATCGAAACAGTGAGATACACAGTTAGAATTAAATTAAATGTTCCAGCACATTTGTCAATAAATCTGTATTACAAATGTTTGTAAATGGGTAATCCTGTTTGAGGCAATCTCCATTAACAATTTGACGTCCATATATTCTTTACCTCCTGGAATTTGGTCACACACTTTGTAACAAACATGCAACGGCGTGGAACGAAGATAACGAAAGTCGCCATGCACTACTTACAGTTACAAATGGCGAGTTATAGGTTATTCATTTACGACGACTTTTCATAGTTCTGAATTAAATACAAAAAAATTTATAATGTAACAGGACTTATCTATTTTCGTTTCAGGGACTGCAAGAGCAAGTCCACAACTTCCAGAAAGTTTCGTTTCCGAAATTGTAGTAGATAACTAGAATCGCCACAAATTAAATTAGTGCCCATTGCGAAATGGGAATCTATGCAACACAGAAATTAGTGTACGATATTAACGTACTATTGCAAAATCTATGAACGTCGTTGAGTGCACTTTCACCACTTCGATGCTTTAAATTTACTCTATATTTCGTGAACAGAATGTGTGTGAATGTGTGTATGTGTGTGTGTGTGTGTGTGTGCGCGCGCGTGAGAGAGAGAGACAGAGAGAGAGAGAGAGAGAGAGAGAGGGAGGGAGAGAGGGAGGGAGAGAGGGAGAGAGAGAGAGAGAGGATGTAATGATTTGACCTGGAGAATACTAGTTGAATTGTTTTGAAGTGTCGAATAGTGACACTGCAAAATTCCCGATTTTATCTGTTCCAGTAAGTCGATGTTTTCCCCTTTAAAGCATTTGAAGACTGACATAAACCAGGCATATATAGATACTCAACCAAGGAAATGGCTAAAAGAAGGCGGTAAGTGGTTCTGAAATTTTCAATACCTCCATCATGAAATTGGTATGTCGTTAAAAATGAGAAAGGATCAACAGTTGCCTAGGGTGTAGTAATCTTTTACGTCACAATCTCGACTAAGGGAATATTAAATAACTCAGTTTTTTCACGTCCAGTACTGAAATCCAATATCGGGGTTTCGCGATTAATGAGCAACCAGCAATACACTCGTCGATTATTAAACGGATGACTTTACCTGCTTTATGAGATTCTTCTGAGTATTCAATAAACTTTCTGTGACATCAAAGCATGTGATTTGTGTATGAAGAGAGAGAGAGAGAGAGAGAGAGAGAGAGAGAGAGAGAGAGAGAGAGAGAGAGAGTAATGAATGTTTAATAATTGCTGGCGGAATGTATTCCGCTTCCTGAAAAATGTTTTGTTTTCAAAAAATCTACACCTAAAAACAGTCGGCAGACACAGAGGATGAACGATGCGAAAGATAAGAAATTACGAGAGTAGAGATTACAATAAATATAGTTTCTTTTTAAACTGGAATGAGGTAGCTGCGGCTCTTCAGCCTTAGAGAACTCGACTATCCAGGCCGGAATTAGGAATACTTTGTTACTTTAACTCGGTCATTACTTTACGGCCATTCAATAGGAAAGATTAATTTTCATGGGCATTTTAATTCAATGTAATTTTCGTGGGGATTTGTTACGTTGCTAGGGTTAACCTACATCCGGTATGTCGTGCTTTGAGTGTGTATTGAATAAATGCTCATAAGAGATATCAGATAATATATGCGTTTGTATGCTTTCACACATGATTATTAAAAAAAACTATCTGGACCCATACAACTACATTATATACACACGTAAATTCAACTTACCTCTCGTTTTTTAAATAGAATATTTCCCGAGATTCAATAATCGATTTGCGTCTCTCCAGGGAACGTTGCAAATTTCATAGAGAACGTCTCTAAAGAGCGTTACAATTGCGCTTTATTCGTTAATATTTGTCTATATTCCACTTAAAAAGAAATGCAAATAACTATTACAGCAAACAACTAATCACAGTGCTGGATATGCTCTCCCAGTAGCTTATTATGTACCAGTCGGCGCTCTATGATTGGTGAATACCAGGGAAATATTTTATAAAACAAACATTAAACCGTCAAAACGCGTAACCGGGAAGTCAACAGAGCGCTTAAAGCCATCACTATGACTCACCAAATTCCACGAAATAAACCGCCTGAAACTTCCCACTCAACAAAAAATTCATAATCTTCAGTTTAGAAACAAAACAACCCAAAAACAGGATCGTCTCATTCCTATATATCATCTAATTTAAAAATTCCTTACTGCAAAATGCGCAGAGAAAGTTTAGCTTTACTCTCTGGTCAAACAGGAAAGAAGAAATCATTCAGAGATCACTAGGATTTGATAACCAATGCGGCAGGCCGCAACACGAATCTGCGGCGTGGAGACATGCGAGCGTGCCCTGGCGTCTTACCTTCTGGATGCAACCGACGAAGGAGGATCGAACGCGGACCTTGGGGGACACCAGCTCGAAGTTGGGCACGCCGCCGATGTAGAGGCTCTGTGGCAGCGACAGCTGCGTGAAGGCCCCCGGCGCCAGCGCCTGCGCGGGCGGCTCGCGGTCCAGCTGCAGCACGGCCAAGCGCCCCGTGCGCGACAGGCGCAGCTCGTGCCACGCGCCCAGCGCCGCGCGCTTGGCGCTCCTGCGGACAGCGAAACGCTCACGCTCAGCGCCCCGCTCGCCCAGCCGCTACCAGCGCGCTCGCCCGAATGCCGTAACGCCCACTTTAACATGACGCATGACGACAATGGAGCATCGAAGGAGGGCCGTCCGAATGAGCGTCCAGCTCATTCGGACGGCCCTCCTTCGATGCTCCATTGTCGTCATGTTTGGTCGACCCATCGGTCGACCCATTGGTCCGCCCATTGGTCCGCCCATTGGTCCGCCCATTGGTCCGCCCATTGGTCCGCCCATTGGCCAACCATGGTCAGCCCTTGGTCACCCTTTTAGTCCCCCTCGGGGGTCCATTTGGACTTTGATACTCACTTGGTCACACACTTGCGTGAGCACGTAACCGCTCCTTTAATGAGATCTGAATTGAGAGTGTCGATGAAAGTGTGCGATGGCTACTGCTGTGACTTCGAATCCCGCTATTCGGATCCATGTGCAAAAGTCACTACGTAACATATTCATCCCTTTACAACTGCCCTGGAAAAGCACGGTTTTCCTCCGTAGTTTGTCCCCAACGTCCAGTAAGGTATATGCTACACGAAGAATAATATTTGTTTATTATACCAGTACGTAAGCCTTACCGTCATATCTGGAAATTAGTGACTTTGATGCGAAGGTTAGTATGAAGATATAATATGAATAATAAGGGAATTGTGAAATGACAGGCAGGAGAAATGGGAGCACCCTGAGAAAATCTGTCGCAATGCCGCAATCCAACACAAATTTCACGTCGATCAACGCGGATTTGCCATGGTTTCACCGATCTATACCAAGCGAAATATCGGAGTACTACCCTACAATACAGATCCAAGACCTCGCGCAATCTTTACTTCCTTTTACATCCTCACTCCTTTCTTCCATACATGTATATGCAATACATTACCACATATCTCGAGACCAATTTGGAGCTCATAACTTTGTCCTCGCTGAAGAGGTGTAGTAGCCGGTGGTAGGAGTAACCTGGATGGGAAAATACTACAATCCGTAGGGTTGTAGGCCGGCGACGGATCTCGCCATTCCGTGGGGGAAGACCATTACCACATCCAGTGATAAAAAACAGGTTCAAAACTTACGAGATTGATGATAATAGCAGTTGACGCACTCATTAACACCAATCAATCACTCAATTGGGGTTTCGACCCCTCTGGCATTAATCCTTTGCGCTCTTAAGGTGAATTGTTCAGGTCCTGCGTTCCTATCAACTCCATTTCAATCTCCCTACCAATGTGCTCGCAACGTATTGGTAATGTTTTACTTTTGGATCACAAAAGAAGATGCATTTTGATTTTTTTTAAATAAAAGAAGTTTGGGTCTCATTTCCACAAATAATAGTCTTGTAGTGAATAGTATTATAAACCGTTTTACAAATTGAAATGACTTTACAATAAACAAAATAAACCTTTGCATTGTTCGTTCGATGGTATATGAGTTATATTGGCTGACGAAACACGGGAGTGTCTGATGTCTGCAAAAAGACATAAAAATAAATTTCGACAGACTGGTATTGTTCTAGGAACCCAGAGAGAAGAAATGAGGATTGGCTAAAGACAGAAAGATTACAACGACCCAATAAAACAAGAAGAAGAATAAATGGAAGAAGAAGAAGTAGAAGAAAAGGAAGAAGGAGGAGGGGATATGTATCAAGAGATATGTTTAATTCTGGTAGTCTCGGTAAATAAACAATTAGTTTACTGGGCGTCTCATGCCGCATATGGGATCCCCGGTGAGTGTTCATTGGAAGGTCACATTGTTCACTGTGGCCATGTACATACAGTACGCAAATAAATTCTGGCCTAATGCCCATACAACTGTTTTAATTTTTAACTCAAATTAATCCTGACATTCATTCAGCTACGGCCGAAATAATCAACACTTCTGACAACGTTATGACCGCTATTGCTTTCGGCAAATGTGGCAGTTGCTAACACTGGGATCTTTTAGAATACCTAGGTCAAAAATATCAGCGAAACAAACCATGAAGGGGGAGAACAAATTCCCAAATATAGGTAAATCAATCACTTCTAACTTGTTGGGAGATGAAAGAAAACCAACACAACGTTTCATGAACACCACTCAATCCACTAGGCAACCTTGAGGGACTCCGTCTGCAAATGTAATCCACCATTGACACCTGCGAGTAGTTTGCAGCTGTAGGGCTGACTGTAGGTGCCCGTCGTCTTACGTACTCGATCAGCGCTCTACGGTCCTACTGGTAGGAATATGGCAAAAGGAGAACGACTTAATCATGTTAATTTTAATGCATGCATACCTCGGCAACGTATCGGCAGTAAAAGGAATAAAAAAACAAAACCTTCAGAAAAAAATCTTTCACCAAGCCACTCTAGTGTGATAGTTTCTTGCAGAGACCAATCCGCTGGAGGATATCATGTGTTCAGCTCTCATTTTTGCGCTACGTCTAGTACTTTTCGCACAATTCTACCTACTTGAAGTCTTTCACGTGACTTCAAGTTCTCTTTGTTTCATTCAATCATTTTCTATTCGATAAAACTTTTGAAAATATAACAAAAATGAGATGAAAAAATGTCAAAACGTTGAAGCAGTCGAGAGTAATTGATTCGAATTTCTGTCTCTGTATGGCGCTGTACTTTAATATTATCCCTGACGTCTGTATTGGATGTTGGCACGGTCTGTAAAATGCATTTGACATGAGAGTTGAAATGTGTAAAGGACTGCTCTCCACAGGCCATAGCGCCTCGTATGTCCATCAGACGCTTTTGTGTTAGAAAGAAAGTTTATGAACCGTGGAAAGAGAAGTCAGAGTGAAATATGTCAGTTACAAAACATGATCAAATCTTAGTGCTCATAATGATCACTATTCTAAATCATTAGAACCTGATTCTCTAGACCCAGAGCATAAGGATGCCATTTTTGCTCGTGTGTGTATTAAACGGATGAAAATTCATTAATTCCCATATACGTTTTTGAAAAACAACAACAAATAAACAAAAAACAACAAACAAAAAACAACAAACAAAAAACACGCACATTTTACGCACGTGACCTAGATTACTTCATTAATGCTATAAATTAGATTTCATCATTCTGGTTTCAAGTCTAATATTACAGCTTCCTTGAATCTTTCAAGTGCAAACTAAAATAATCACACATTCTAAAACATCTGAATAATCCACATGTAAGTATTTTCTTTTATTTATGAAGATGAGTTAATTGACTGATTATTCACGTTATACGCTTGCACGACATTTGTGCCTGGTTGAGTAGGGTGTGGAGAAACACTGTAGACAGTGTTATCCCCAGACAAAGATTAATATCTAAAATGTAATATTTAAATATTTCAATAGAAGACATTCTTCAATTCTAAGAATGTTATGAAAGACGAAGAAATAGACCAAGGAAGAAGAATCGTCTCAGAGGAGTGCATCATAGGAGACTGACAGACGTGATGTGTCTTCGCACATTCAATTTTCAGCGAGGAAAAGAGGTGGGAGCCGCATGCAGCATTCTTTATTTATTTATTTATTTATTTATTTATTTATTTATTTATTTATTTATTTATTTATTTATTTAAAGGTTTTTCTGATTACAAAGTATTTTGTACTGTGCCCATAATACTTTTTTAAAACTAAATTAGTTTATATTATAAACCATAAACACGGAGCTGGCGAGATGCATCTTCGTAAACGAAAGGATTAACTGCAATTTTCACTACATTTGTAACTCTAGATCTAATTATATTAATGTCTTTAGTTCTGATAACAATTTAAAATCACGTTTAGAGAATACTGATACTTCATTGAAGTAACCTACGTAAATCACTAAAATCCATTCAATTCGATAAATTTAAACTGAAATGATGCAGGATTCGCAATGCATTTATTAACCATTTTACTAATTTTCACCGCGCGAATGATTTGGAAGAAAACCGCGCAGTCCTTGGCTTTTCGAGAGGTGTCTATATGTTCGTAGATACCCTGGATCTCGGGAAAAATAAAAACAACAATGAAACAGTTTCGATTTTGACTGAAAAATGTAAGTATTCGATTGTTTTATCGCGCCTATTTTCATATTGCGCTTACCGACTGAATTCTCTTACCCAGTGCTTCACTGCATACGACACAGCTGACGTCATGCCACGAGGAACAAAGAAGCTTCGTTATCACGTGTGCCGTTTCATAACAGCCATTTTTTGCTTCTCTCCAATGCGGTCTACAAGACATTCAACAACAGCATTTTTTGCAGCTGAAGACCGTTAGTTATTGTATTATTGCATATTAAACCAGAACAGGGAACGTTTTCCCGTAGAAAAATCACTGAGGGCTAAAAGTAACTTTTAAGTTGCTGGCATTTTTTCCCGCAAATCGAAAGACATATTATCTTTCGGGGCATGATGGTAGCCCTGTCCGATACATTGTCACTTAAGCCCAATTACCACAGACCACGGAACTTGCCCCTAGGAAATTGACATGGTGGAAAAACGGTCTCTTGCGTATTATTCTCTATTACATAATCCTTTTTTATGGATTACTCTTTGTTTATAATTATTATTCGAGCAATACAAATATTTTGATATATTCCAAACATTTTATTGACATACATTAATTCATTTTACTTATTATGACAATTTCACGAATATACAAATACATGTGAGGGAGGGTCCCAAAGTTAGGCATATAGAGATAATTGTTTACAAATAACCACTTCGAAAAATTTCTTCCTTTGGTATGTGTGTCTATTCGTTTGAATGTGTCATTCTACGCCAGTGTTCGTGTTTCTGGAACCCTGCCATGTACGATTGCTCTCATATATCCAGATGTGACTAGACGGGAAATGGGTGAGGTGGAGTGCTCAATGAGCACCCATCAGGTCGGTGCCAGTAGCGAATTCCGCGATGGGCTTATGAATCTCGGCCCTCGCCGGCTCGCGCTCGCCCACAGGTGCTGTTAGTGCGTGTATTGAAGACCCGTCTGGGACGATTTCGACGTCATCGTC